ATGATTCATTGTTTGTGCATAACACCCAGTGCTCCATGCAGAATGTGCCCTCCTCAATACCCACCACCAGGCTAACCCATCCTCCCACCCCGCTCCCCTCTAGAACCCTGTTTGTTTTTCAGAGTCCATCGTCTCTCATGGTGTGCTACATATTTTTATATGCTTCTTAGTAACTGTAATAAATTTAGAGGTACTGAAAGGAGTTTTTTTAAAGTTCTCAAATTATTTAATGTTAAATGTGTTAAAAGGATGCAATCATTTGTAAAGTGCCAAAATCCTTTTTGTTGTACATAATATTTTATTACCTTTGTAATATCTTTGTATACAGTGATTTTTTTGTGTGGTAATATAATAAATGGAAAAACTAAAATTCTTAAAATTTTGTTGTGATTTGACTTTAAAAATATTGGTGAGATTTTGTTATTTATAGCATCCTCCTTGGGAAAGGTAGTTTGGTTGCTTAGAAACATGCATTTTTATGGAAAGCTATAGCTGAATATACCTGAATATGTAACTGTCCTTTGAAATTATAATTTTTGTAGAGTACTAAAATGCATTTTTAAAAGATTTTCATTTTCTGCCTTCCTGATTTATTTCCTGCCTGTCTCCCTTCCTGTATAATTCAGGACAAATGTCATTCGCTTATTCTGAGCTTATTCTGAGGTAGGTACTGCCACAGGGGCGAAGGTGGGGCCCAGTGTGGGATACAGGGTGAAGCCTGAGGAGAACATTTGGGGGTAGTAGTATGGAGGGGACTCTCAGGGATCTGGAATAAGGATGCAGCAAGAGGTTTTTATGAGGGGGACTGATCTACAAGTAAATATATTAAGGCTAATGGGAGCCAGATTTTGTCAGAGAAAGGTATTACAAATAAAAAAGGGAGAAAACTAGAATAAGGTTGGAATTGGAAGTACTGGTATACAACTCCCTATTTTCAATATATGTAAAGAAACATACTGTGTGTGTGTGTGTGCGTGTGTGTGCATGCGTTTGCATTTGTTAGTAACAAATTATAACCTATCGAACAAAATAGGAACCCACAAATCCACAAGAAGGGAAAGTTCTACCTTTCAGTGGAATGCTAACCGACAAATGTAAAAGAAATGGTGGAATTAGATCAGTTTTTGACAAATCTTCAGTAAATGCTAAAACTAGTGGATGAATGTTTCATGGTCTCCTTACAAGATACGTATTAATTAAAGGGAAAAAGAATAAAAGTAGAGGAGCTTGGCAGACACAACCTTCATTAACTGATTAAAATCCAGTCATCAGTAACTGCACAAATCAAAATTGTATGACACCTGATAAGATGCAAGAAGTTAGTATCTCTTACGTGGTATTCTTGCTAGAAAGGTACAGCCTGAATCTAATAATAAGGAAATACCAGGCAAACCCAAATTGAAGAGCAATCTACAAAATAACTGACCTGAAACCTTCAAAAATGTTAAAATAATGAAAGCCAAGGAAAGATGAACTGTTTCAGATTGGTGGAGACTAAAGAGACATAACAGTTATGTGCAAAGGGTGATCCCCTGCCTGTGGAAGTCCCTGTTGGGACAGCTGGTGAGACTTGAGTGGGCTCTGTGGATTACATGGTTGTAATATCCATGTTAACTTCTTGAATTGATAGTTCTATTGTGGCGAAGTGGAAGAATGTCCTTGTTTGTAGAAATTATACGCTAAAGTATTCAGGGTGATGGAACATCACCGGCTCAATGGTTTGGGGGAGTGGAGGTCCTTTGTACTTCTTGCAACTTTCCTGTAAGTTTGAAATTATTTTTCTTTTTTTTTTTTTAAAGATTTTATTTATTTATTTGAGAGAGAGGATGAGAGGAGAGAGAGAGCACATGAGAGGGGGGAGGGTCAGAGGCAGAAGCAGACTCCCCGCCGAGCAGGGAGCCCGATGCGGGACTCGATCCCGGGACTCCAGGATCATGACCTGAGCCGAAGGCAGTTGCTTAACCAACTGAGCCACCCAGGCGCCCAGTTTGAAATTATTTCAAGATGAAAAAAATTAAATGAATATCATAAAAACAGTATTTTCCATAATAAAAAAAGTACCATTAAAAAAAAAAATGGGGCTTGAACTCTACCCTGAGATCAAGACCTGAGATCAAAAGTCAGACATTTACCTAAGCCACCCAGGCACCAAAAGGGCACCAGTTTTAAAAATCAGAAAACTTTGCATCAAAGTTCATTCTTTTATATGGGCTTAAAAATCAATAATAAAGCTTCAAAAGAAAAGATCAGCCTAAGTAAGATGTTTTTCTCTTTAGAAATGGAAATTTAACTTCTAAGTTTATTTCATATAACTTGTTAATGTAACCAGTTATCTTACTTGCTTACTTGGTAAATTCTTCCCTTCCTTCCTTCCTCTCCATCCTTTCCTTATTTCTAACTTTTCCAGGTATTCAGAGTTGAGTTGATGTTTTTCCTAAACTAAATAACAGACTATATTTGGGACAAAGAAATACTAAGAAGTAAAAAAGGGCCCTTTCTCTAAGTGTTATTAAAGATTTAACTAGAATTTAAATAAAATTTTGAAAAAAAAAGCTATGAATGGATATTAAGGAGGGCAATTGTTATGATGAGCACTGGGTGTTTTTTGTTAAGTGATGAATCACTAAATTCTACTCCTGAAACCAATATTACACTATATTACATTACTTAATGTTCCCAGTTCTTGCATGAAACAGACCTACACTGATTTTTAACAACCTGTGTCTCATAATATATGAACATATGGAATAAGTAAAGTATATACAGCTAATGTTTACTTTTTGCTTGAAATTTTGCATAATATCAGGAATAGAAATTTAAGAAATAGAAATCTTCTATTAAGGAGGTTCTTAATTTTTCCATTTTGCAGATTCCACTAAATTCAAAGCTGTGCTAAAAAGAAACATGCAAAAGACTATCTCCCAAATTATTTAAATCTTTTTTGTAGCAAAACTTCCCCAGAAACAGAGAAACATTCACACAAAAGTTCTTACCTGTTTATCAGAAGTTTATTTCTATTATCCCTTTCTTATTTTCTGGCATTGAAAATAGTGAAACAATTATTTGCTAGTATTCACATATGAAACTTCTTCATGTCAATTAAATAATTTTCCTGATTTCTAAAATGAATAATACATCTTGGTATCTATGAAGTATGCTTAATGAAGAGATGGGAAACAATCATCCAATACTATCCAAGTCACATGTGTTCTAAAATAAGCTCTCAGATAGTTGAATCAGGGTGATAGAAATTACTACTTAAATCTGAAATTTTAATGAGATTGCTGAAACGTTTCTCTTAATGACCCATCTATTTTCTTTAGGTTTAGCTTATTTCATTTTTCCTTCTTCATAGTACCAACTGATGATTAATTTATTAACAAGTGGTAATCATGTAAGATCATATGAAATATACTTGGGCTATTTTTTGGCAAGCTCCTTGATTTGGTTTCTAAATTCCAAAAGTCATTTCTGATGGTTAGTGCATTTGTTTATTTTAATTATTATTATTTTTGGGTTAGTGCATTTAAATGACATTCTCAGGTGCCTCCTTCACACAGTGGGTGCTCAATAACAAGAGTTATTAAAAAAGGACCCTAGAGACCAGGAAACTTCAGTTTTAGCCCCTGATATGGAAGTAAAATTTTAGATCATTTAACTTTCATTCTTTGGTTTCATATTTATAAAATGGAAATGATAATACCCTATCCACTTGATGAAGATGTTTGAAATTGGATAATATATTGAAGCACTCTGGTATAATAGCAGATTGTTTAGCAATCTTAATTTTTCAAAATCTTATCCCTGGGTTTGAAGTTACTGAAGGCACTTGTGTCTCCTTATTTAAAAGATTTATGGAAGTCTCTTAACAGGGTATGCCTCAATTCCTAAGGTTTCACTTTCCCTCCCCAGGAAACATACTGATATTTTTAAGTCATCAAAATAGTAACTTGAAGTCATTAAGATTTGTGACAGATTATACAAAAAGTACTTCTGTGGGTAATAGCTTGATTAAAGCTTACTGGGAAAAATATTAATGATGTTAGATTTGCATTTGATATCTTAGAATATTATAGGATACTGTGCTGTATAAATCTAGATATAACTTTTATCAAGATCATTTTTAAAATTTAGAACATGATTTTGAAGGTGGTATGTCTTGTGGAGGGAAATTTTGCTAAAAGAAATTATAGCTTCTCAGATTATCAGAGAACGTATCCTGTTTGTGTACTTCTCTAAATGAAAGAATTAAGAGAATGTTTTCATTATTCATAGTCTGGCATGTAGGGGTTGGAGAGGGAACAAGAAAAATCGTAAGACATCCTTAGAACATTTAACACAAAATATACACATACATAGATCCTGAGATGTTACAACAAATTTTAAAATACATAGATCAACATGATCCAAATGGTTTCCAAGACACTGTAATGGTGAGTTAACAGCCATTATACAGTGTATGCTGAATGGAGGTCCACATCATGCCACGAAAACCCTACTCTGTGTGTCCAAATTTGAAAGCTAGTCATCCAGAGCAGGGGGCCAGTCAACATCTACAGACTAGAAGGAAGAAAACAAGACATGAAAACATTACTGTTCCAGTAAGCATTTGCTGGTAATGCTGCATAAACTTAATAGTTTTAATATAAGGCAGCAGAAGCAGCTTCATTTGAAGAAAAGTCATTGAATACCACAATTCAACACTCTAAAATCCATAACTAGGTCTTGAGATTCTTGGGCCCAAGGTCTGTTTCTGAATTCACAGAGTATTTGGTTACTCAGCTGGTTAAATTAATTGTACCTTTGGCCAATAAGAGACTAGAGTACATCTAAATTTTGTAAATGTTATTTATGGGTAAAGAAAGAAATTCAGGGAGCAACACCAACTTTTCCTCAGAAGTCTCAGCAACTTTTATTCTTCAGATCATTTTCATTTTCCCATCTTGCATTTAACAAGCACTCAAGTAGTCTATTCACTTACGGTGTTATTTGTAGCTTAGCAACCAAATGAGAAATAAATGAGTATGAAAGAACTAGAAAAGAATAAATGATCATTATGTATCATTTCAGAATTTTTGTTTCTTTTAAAATCAGTTTATCTCTACTCACTTGGTTTGGCTCTTCTAGAACAAAACCTTGATTTAAGTCATAATGAAATTACAGTAGCAGACTATTTTTTTTTCTCCATATAAAACAATCATGTCCTAGGCTTTAGAAGTAGTTTAACTACCCTCGAGGGCCTAATTTGAGAAGTTTAAAAAAGTCCACTGTGCCCATGTCTTGTTACGGGTTTTTTTGAGACTTAAATTTTAAAACCCAAAATGCTTTACCACAAGTGATTTTTTAAATTAATCTATGAGTCACTGCCAGAATCAGAAAAATTTTATTAGAAAAGCCCAAATAACTATTGTGTGTGTACATGTGTATCTTTTAGAAATCCCAAGAAGATATTTTGGTTCTATTTCAGAACATGGCCACATACTGAACACCCATATATAAGCTAATGGGTTGTTTCTCATGCCTGAAAACTAAACATTGCAGGTCACATAGTCTTGTATGTGTTGAAAGCAGGGGAGGTTTAAAAAGCCCTACAGGTGATTCCCGATGGACAAACAGGGATGAGGAACATTGGCCCATGACTCTTGACATTCCTAAGTTGTTCTGAGAATTAAGATCAAAGAAGATGAATGCAGGTGAGATTTTCTTTAACACAAGGTTGTCTTCCTCAAAATAACAGTCCCTCTGAGAAGGCTCCCTGCAACCTTGGAAGTGCTGTTGGTGGCCGTACTGCAGGAGCTCTATAAAATCTTGCTGGAAGCACTCAAGAGAATCGCCGGTAAGCTGATAATGCTCCAGTGATATGTGATTACCATAGCTGTCTGCACACGAGGCAACTATACGCACTTCTTTTGATAACTGATATTAATCCCAAGTGCAAAATGCTAGTCTCCTAATATTGTTTTTGGCTGGTAGGGAGGTACGGGAGAGGGACCCCATCCTTCATCAGGTATTTGTCAAGGAGCACAGTTGTGACTCAGTACCTTTTTGATGCTCAAATGAGAAAATATATTTATGGAGAACTGCCGAAGGACCTATTCAATCCACTCTTATAAATACTTAAGAATTTAACCTTGTTTCAATTCAGACTCTAAGAGCAGAAAATTTGTACCACATCATAGGGGTCCCTTATACAACTGCTTTTATTAATAACCACTGGCTCATCCCATTTTCTATACCTGTCCTGAATGTATGTTTCTGAGTAGTCTGCCTTAAATTTTTTATAAAACAAAATAGGTATGGGAATGAACTCTGTAGAGTCCAAAGGACATATGAAGGGCTCTTAAGTTTCATTTCCTTGCTCCATTTAAGGGTTTAAGACCTCATGCCCCATGTAAATTAGCTATATATTTGCAAGGATCATAAATGAGATCTTGTATTTTTTAAGAAGATAAAAATTCCAAAGACAGTCCCTCCCTGCAATACAATGCTACTGTGAGATTTTGACCATTTTCAAATACCTGTTAAGGTGAGTAGAGATAGATACCTATTTGACTTAATGCCCACCCCCCGCCAAAAGCATAACCTTGGCTGAATTCAATGTACAAATGGGTACTTCCACAATAAAATGGTTTACCTCAACATCCAGCTCAAGAATGTCTGCAGTCACATTCATTAGAGAGCCAATGTTTGGCTTGGTTCTCCCAAAGTCTCCATGCACAAACTCTTTAATGTAGCTGGGGTTTGTTTAAGGAAACAATGGAGATAGCTATGCAGCACTGTTTGGTGAGATTTGATAGGTGAAAGGGAAATGACAGACAAAAGCAGAAATGTTACAAGGGAGAGGTTATTTCTGAGCTGTGACCCATGATGTGTATCTTAGAAAATAAGCTTTGGCAAACTGGTTCCTACCAGCCTGGCAGCTAACAGCAGGACTTGGCACCTGTGTTTACATCAAACTTCCCAAAAGTCATGACTTTCTTTTTTCTCTAGCTCATCTCCAAGTGCCAAGGTTTGGATATGGATTTTTTTTTTTAATTTTTTTTTAAGATTTTTAACTAACTAGAATTTAAATAAAAAATTGAAATAAAAAAGATCTTTTTTAAAATGTTTAAGTAATCTCTACATCCAACGTGGGGCTCAAACCCACAACCCGAGATCAAAAGTCCCACGCTCTACTGCCTGAACCAACCAGGCGACCCTGGGTATGGATTTTTAAAATGAACTGTACTTCAGTGCTAACCAAACAAAACAAAACAACCTTTGCTATTTTTTCTTTGCCACAAATTCCATTTTGTCATCTTTTTCGTCCCATTTTTCAATGATGGCAGCTAACATCTGCCAGAAGATAGGTTTCCACAGGGTCACACGATGATGGCTTTCCTGGTAATGTGACCCAGTGACACAATAGCGGTAGGATGGGAGGGACAATGAAAATATTAATTTAGGGGCACCTGGGTGGCTCAGTCGTTAAGCGTCTGCCTTCAGCTCAGGTCATGATCCCAGGGTCCTGGGGTCGAGCCCCACGTCGGGCTCCCTGTTTGGCGGGGAGTCTGCTTCTCCCTCCCCCACTCCCCCTGTTTGTGTTCCCTCTCTCGCTGCCTCTCTCTCTCTCTCTGTCAAATAAATACATAAAATCTTTAAAAAAATATATTAATTTAGTCACTGATAAAGGCTCTTCAGAAGGATTATCAAAGGACCCAA